CCCCGCCCCTCCCGTGCAGCTGGAGCTGAGTGTGGACCAGCGCAAGGACTATCAGCTGGGGAGATGCTGAAGCTCCAGCTGCACACGGACTCTGCGGCCCTGGTGGCCCTGGGGGCTGTGGACATGGCTCTGTACGCCGCGGGCGGCAAGGCCCACAAGCCCCTGGACATGGGCAAGGTTTGCGAAGACCCTCTCCCCGGCCCTGCCGCGTCCTCTCGGGCTCATCCCAGCTGCCCGCCCACTCCGCCCAGCCTCCCTCACGCTGGGGCCTAGGGCCTTATTTCCCCTCTGTCTGTGTCTCACATCTGTCCATCCGCCTCGCCCACAGCCAGCCCTGCCCCCCAGCCATCTTGTCTCCCCACAGCCCTGCCTTTTCTTGCCAGGTCTTCGAAGTCATGAGCAGCTACGACCTCGGGTGTGGTCCTGGGGGCGGGGACAGCGCCCTGCAGGTGTTTGAGGCGGCTGGGCTGGCCTTTTCTGACGGACACCGATTGACTTCGACCAGAAATAGTGAGAGCAGAGGAGGAAGCGGATGGGTGGTGGGAGGCAAAGTGAGGAGGAGGGCCCTGAGGGGTAAGAAGGGAGGAGGGGCGCAGGCAAGGGAGGCGCCCACCAGGGCTTGGCTGCAGCCCTGCTCTCTCCCAGGTCTGAGTTGTCCCAAGGAGCAGAAAACCCGGAAAAAGAGAAACTTCCAGTTCCAGAAAGCAATTAGCGAGAAGTGTGAGTTGTGGGCGTGGGTGAAGCTGCTTGCGCCCCGGGGTCAGGGGGAGGGGTCTGCCTCTCGGCTCCTCTGCTCCCCAGGGGCCAGGCCGTGGGCTTCGGGGCCAGAGGCCAAGTCCTGGGTTGGCGGTGGGTGGGCAGGAGGCTCTGGGCGGCCTCCTGAGCTCCCCGTGCCCAGTGGGCCCTCGGTACCTGGAGGTCCGAGTGGGGCGGAGGTGCGTCCCGTGCTCACCCTTGGCCCTGCAGTGGGCCAGTACACTTCCCCAGTGGCCAGGCGCTGCTGCCAGGACGGACTGACGCGGCTGCCCATGACCCGCTCCTGCGAGCAGCGGGCGGCCCGGGTGCCGCAGCTGGCCTGCCGGGAGCCCTTCCTGTCGTGCTGCCAGTTTGCCGAGGTCCTGCGCAAGAAGACCCGGGCCAGGGGCCAGGTGGGCCTCGCCCGAGGTGAGCCAGGGGCCGGGGCTCGGCACGGGCAGGGAGCCCGGGCGGGCGGAGCCCTCCTCACCGTGCCGTGTGGCCCCCAGCCCTGGAGGTCCTGCAGGAGGAGGACCTGATGGAGGAAGACGATATTCCTGTGCGCAGCTTCTTCCCGGAGAACTGGCTCTGGAGGGTGGAGACCGTGGACCGCTACCTCCAGTGAGGGCGCCTGGTGGGCCGGCCTTGGGTCTGGGCAGGGTGGGGCCAGCCCAGCCGTGACGGCTGCTCACCGTCCCACCACAGGTTGTCGCAGCTGCCGATCCCTGACTCTCTGACCACCTGGGAGATCCACGGCGTGAGCCTGTCCAAAACGACAGGTGGGCTGCCCGCCGCTCCGCCCTCCCCGCTGCCACCCTGCACCCAGCTCCCTCTTCCCTGACTGCAGGGAAGGGGGTGCAGACAGTGGGGCAGAGATGGTCACCCTGCCTCCCAGTGGCTGCGATGCCCCCAGGCCTCTGATGTCTCCCCGTCCCCACTCCTCGCTCCACAGGCCTGTGTGTGGCCACGCCAGTCCGGCTCCGAGTGTTCCGCGACTTCCACCTGCACCTCCGCCTGCCCATCTCCGTTCGCCGCTTTGAACAGCTCGAGCTGCGGCCTGTCCTGTACAACTACCTGGACACAGATCTGACCGTGCGGCCTGCGGGAGCTGGGTGCACAGCGGGTGGCCGGGGCGGGGGAGGGATGAAGAGCCCAACCACCTGACTGGCCCTCCCCTCTTCCTCCCCAGTTGAGCGTCCACGTGGCCCCGGTGGACGGGCTGTGCCTGGCTGGGGGCGGAGGGCTGGCCCAGCAGGTGCTGGTGCCCGCACACTCTGCCCGGCCTGTGGGCTTCTCTGTGGTGCCCACGGCGGCCGCCGCCGTGTCCCTGAAGGTGGTGGCTCGAGGGTCCATGGAGTTTCCTGTAGGGGACGCAGTGTCTAAGATTCTAAAAATTGAGGTGAATGGAGCAACCCTGAAGCCAGATCCCCAGGCTCCCAGATTTACCCCCTGACTCCCAGCACCCTCTCTGCTGGCCCTCTGGTCCACCACCCAAACCAAACTCCTTGGTCAGTTTGCCTTCTACAAGTCTGATCCCACTCGGCCTCCGAAGTTCAAATCCCAGTCCGGGGAGTCTGCACGGGGAGATGGGGGGGGCAGCTGCAGCCAGGCGCTGGGTGACCTCTCAGAGCTCTGTTTCCCCCGAGACAGAAGGAAGGCGCCGTCCACATGGAGGAGCTGGTGTATGAGCTCAACCCCCTGGGTGAGTGGCCCTGGCCGCCGCAGTGCCCTACGAGGGTTGTAGGTGGAGGAGATGGACACCAGGCAGACTGACAACTTCCCCATCTCCCCAGACCACCGAGGCCGGACCCTGGAAATTCCTGGCAACTCTGATCCCAATATTATCCCCGATGGAGACCACAGCAGCTTTGTCAGGGTCACAGGTGGGCCTGCGCTCCAGTCCCTTCCCAGCGGCCACCCTCAGATGCATGTGAAACCTGTTTGGGGCCATGACCTCTGACCCTGGGTCCCAGACCTGCTCTCTATCCTCCACCCCCTCTTTCCCCTGTAGCCTCAAGTCCACTGGACACCCTGGGCTCCGGGGGAGCCTTGTCAGCAGGAGGCGTGGCCTCTCTCCTGAGGCTGCCACGGGGCTGCGGGGAGCAAACCATGATCTTCTTGGCTCCGACCCTGGCTGCTTCCCGCTACCTGGACAAGACGGAGCAGTGGAGCAGGCTGCCCCCAGAGACCAAGGACCACGCGGTGGACCTGATCCAGAAAGGTTCTGGCGCAGGGCGAGCGGGGGTGGGGCAGGCCATTAAGGGCGATGGGCACCCCAGGTGGCTGGTGGGGGGAAGGGGGTACCCAACGGGAATGGGGAGCATGGCCTTGGGCACAAATAGCAGCCGCTGCTCCTCTCCCAGGGTACATGCGGATCCAGCAGTTCCGGAAAGCGGACGGCTCCTATGGGGCGTGGCTACATCGGGACAGCAGCACCTGGTGAGCCTGGGAGAGTGCTCTGGGTCTCTGAGAGCTGGCGGGGCTGCGGGGGGCAGACCCAGGTACAACGGGAGGGCGACTAACCAGGTGTCGGGGAGTGGCCTGTGTTCCCTATCCCCAGCTGTCACTTCCCTCCTCTAGGCTCACAGCCTTTGTGTTGAAGATACTGAGTTTGGCCCAGGAGCAGGTGGACGATTCACCTGAAAAGCTGCAGGAGACGGCCAAGTGGCTGCTGTCCCAGCAGCAGGCCGACGGTTCCTTCCGGGACCCCTGCCCCGTTATCCATAGGGGCATGCAGGTGCGGCCGGAGGCGGGGCCCAGGGGTGCCGGTGGGCGCTCTCCTGGCCCCTCCCCTCCTGGCTGACGGCTTCTCTCCCTGCACTGACCAGGGGGGCTTGGTAGGCAGTGACGAGACGGTGGCCCTGACGGCCTTTGTGGTCATCGCCCTTCATCACGGGCTGGCCGTCTTCCAGGACAGGAGTGCAGAGCAGCTGAAGCAGAGAGTGGTAAGGGCGCCCGCGCCTGCCCTGCGCCGGTGGCTCTCCCTGCTGCTCCTCAGGACCCAGGTGTCCGCCCACAGACCTTCCTCCCTCGTTCTTCTAGGAAACTTCCATCTCGAATGCAAACTCATTTTTGGGGGCGAAAGCAAGTGCTGGGCTCCTGGGTGCCCACGCAGCCGCCATCACGGCCTACGCACTGACGCTGAGCAAGGCCCCTGAGGACCTGCGGGACGTGGCCCACAACAACCTCATGGCCATGGCCCAGGAGACCGGCGGTGAGTCGGGCCTCGGGCCTCTGCGTGTGCCCACAGGGAGGAGCCGAGACACAGCCAGAGGGGAGGACAGCACCTGAGCGGTGCGGGGCCGGCGGCCGGCCTCCCGCTCACCGCTGGTCGCCCTCCCTCCCAGATAAGCTGTACTGGGGCTCGGTCATCAATTCTCAGAGCAACGTCGTGTCGGCCACGCCGGCTCCTCGCAGCCCGGCAGACCCCGTGCCCCAGGCCCCGGCCCTGTGGATTGAAACCACAGCCTACGGCCTGCTGCACCTGCTGCTCCGGGAGGGCCGGGCAGAGATGGCGGACCAGGTCGCATCCTGGCTCACCCACCAGGGCAGCTTTCCAAGGGGGAATCCCGCAGCCACCCAGGTAAGGGCTCCTTGGGCTCTGGCGTGGGCGGCCCCTGAACCAAGCGCTGAGTCCCGGTCCAATCTCCCCAGGACACGTTGATCGCCCTGGACGCGCTGTTCTGAGTACTGGATCGCCTCCCACACTGCCGAGGAAGGGGGGGCTCAACGTGACCCTCAGCTCCCAGGGCCGGAGTGGGTTCAAAGTCCCACGTGCTGCAGCTGAACAACCACAAAGCGCAGGGGGTGCAGGAGGAGCTGCAGGTGACCACACCCTCAGCTGGGCGGCAGGACACCTGGGGCCTAGTGTGTGGGCCCGGACTTCCCCGGCCCCGCCCCATCCCTCGCTCTCCTGATGCCCTGTGGGAAGGCTTCTGGCTGAGCGGCTGGAGAGCCACCTAGCCTCAGCTGCAGGCTCCTCCCTGCGGGGGTGGGGGGGGGGGCTCCCCGCAGCGGGGGAGGCCGAGTGGAGTAGTGCACGTGGAGGTGTCAGCTCCGGACGGGAGGGGAGAGGAGGAGCAGGGCTGTTTCTAGGGACCAGAGAAGTTGGAATAAACAGCGCGCCCTCCTGTGCCCTCCTGACATCACTTTCCCTTTTGTGTCCCCGAAAGTTTTCCTTGGGCAGCAAGATTAACGTGAAGGTGGGAGGAAACAGCAAAGGAACCTTGAAGGTGAGAGCCCGCAGCACGGGCGCCGGGCCAGCAGGGGGCGCTGGGGTCTGGAGGGGGAGCAGGAAGACACGCAGGGCTGTGCGCCCCTGGGTGCTGGCCTGCACCTCCCCCATCGAGCCACAGGCTCTGCTTCCTCCTGCTCCCCTTGCCTGCCTGACACAGGCCCTTCGCCAGCTGCCCAGCTGCCCTCCCCCCAGCCCTCCGTCCCCTAATGCCCGGGGCCCTGTCACTTGGTCTCTGACTCGGGGCTAAGACAGCCTGGAGCTCCTCCCACGCTCTGAGCCGTCAGACTAGCCTTCGGACGCCCCCCTCACACGGTTGGGTGCCTGTACCTCCCTGGCCAGACGGGGGTGCCCACCACAAGGTCTCCTGGCCTTGAACGTCCTCCCCCTGCTTCTCTTCCCATGAGGCAAACTCCTCCTCCTCCTCACGCCTCGGCCCAAAGCCTTTCCCTGCGGCCTCTGCAGGTGCAGAGCGCTGGTCCCGAGGGCGGGCCCTGCCCCCGCCTCACTGTCCAGCCCGCCTGGCCCTGGCCCTTCGTGTTCTCTGCTGGTCAGGAGGGAGATGGGAAGGCCGGCTGTGCCCTGAGCTGTGCTCTGGAGACAGGCCTGGGCCCAGGTGCCATGTTCCCTCCACGCCCCTTGCTGGCCAGGTCCTCCGTACCTACAACGTCCTGGACATGCAGAACACGACCTGCCAGGATCTCCAGATCGAGGTGACGGTCCTGGGCCACGTGGAGTACACAAGTGAGTGCTGGGGGCGGGCGCCCGGGGCCTCCAGGGGCTGGTGCAGGGGCGGAGTCTCAGTGCCCCCTCCCCCAGTGGCAGCCGAGGAGGACTACAAGGACTACTACGACTACGAGAACCAGGGGGACTCCGAGACGGGCTTCGCTGGAGACGACCCGGGGGCCCTTTCCCGGCCCGTGACACCCCTGCAGCTGTTTGAGGGGCGGAGGAGCCGCCGCAGAAGGGAGGTACCCAAGGCGGCCGAGGAGCAGGAGGCCCGAGTGCAGTACACCGTGTGCATCTG